ATATGAGACCCCCAAAGCTTCATCTCCACTGCCTTAAAAGTTGCTTATGAATTGAACTTCTTAATGTGATTGATACGAAATACAAACAAATGTATTTTTAAAATAATAATTTTAGACAAAGACATAGAAACATAGAAAAACAAACTTACTAAGAGGGTTACATATTTTTGGTTTCTAATCCAAGCAAAGGAGGAATGCTAAAAGCTACATTTGTTTTTGGCAAAATAAATCTAGACTCAATTGGAAAAGTAGATGAAGCCAGGACAGGGGGGGAAAAGTAGATGGGACCAAGAAAAAAAAATAACTCAACTTTGTCTAAAATTATTATTTTAAAAATACATTTGTTTGTATTTCGTATCAATCACATTAAGAAGTTCAATTCATAAGCAACTTTTAAGGCAGTGGAGATGAAGCTTTGGGGGTCTCATATCCACATCCCTGCACAGCAAAATAAAATCTATTGCTTTAAATGTGAATGATTGTAAGATGGGAAACTTTAACATAGAACCATGATGGCGAACTTATGGCACGCATGCCCAAAGTGGCACACGGAGCCATGTCGCCTAGCACATGCAGCATCTCCTGTTCCTCTTATGGGTTTCTGGCATGCATGTGCATGTGATGATCAGCTGCCTTTGTGGGTGTGGCAGTACTGCCAGCTGATTGTCGCACATGCATGCGCATCAGTAGCCGTAAAACTAGTTTCCGGAAACCGGAAGTTCATTTTCCAGCACGCGCATGCCCCCTGGGCAGCTCCTCTTCTGGATTGCATCCCAGATAACCATCAATGACATAAAACCTGGGTATGTCTGACACCTTGCAGGTGTGTCATTTCATTATAGTTCATTATAGTTCATGAAATATTATATTTTGAAAGGCTGGTCTCAGCCGAAGCAGAATGTTTCAGAAGAAGTGAGAATGAACAAGAGTTTCGTATTTATGAGCATGTAATTACAATTTGAATTCAATAATTATAAAGTTGGACAACTTTAAGTATGATCGTGTAATCAGAGTCACAGAAATTTGGAATGGAAATGTTAAACGATGTTCAGATGCATATGCACAAAGAAACAGATTTATGTATGAGAAGGGTTAAACATGCTGTTGTATGGATATATAGGTATGTATGCTCAAATGCAAGTAGTCCTTAAGTTACGACCACAATTGAGCCCAGAATTTATGTTGCTAAGTGAAAAAAAATTTAAGTGAATTTTGTCCCATTTTATGACTTTTCTTGCCACATTTGCTAAGTGAATCACTACAGTTGTTAAATTACTAACCCGATTATTAAGTGAATCTGGATTCCCCATTGACTAGATCTGGGCTGGATGTGTCATGTGCAGGCCATGGCCACCCCAGCTCTGCAAAGGCAAAAAATGTCACGATACATCACATGACATCAACGTGACCAGGGGTGGGTTCCTGCCAGTTCTAACCTCTTCTATAGAAGAGGTTCCACAAATCTACAGTGCTGTTTAGAACCAGTTCCAGCTCCCTCCCCTCACCCGTCTGCACATCATCAAGATGAAGAGCAAGAGGAGGAATTCTGGGAGTTGAAGCCCTCAAGTCTTAAAGCTGTCAAGTTACAAGACCCTTGCACCCCTAATCCTTTAGGAAAAAAAAACCAGAATTCCTCCTCTTGCTCTTCATCTTGATGATGTGCGGACGGGGGGGGGGGGGGGGGGGG